AGGTCATTGTCAATGCGCTGTTCATGCACGGTAACCCTGGTCCACGCATTCACAAGATATTCACTGTAGTCGATATCCATGCATATTCTATAAATTTGATTACCGCTATTCGGAAAAGTCAACAATAATCAAAGAATACATGTAGGTTTTATGTTCAGATAGTCAAATTTGGGGCATTTTAGAGGTGATGGTCACTTAGCTGAACATGAACACAAAAATAATAATGTCCCAAAAGTTTAGGGACGGATGTGCTTAGCTGAGCATGGGTGCTAAGTCAGACGAGAACTGTAGTACTGTAAAATCTGTAATAAAAGCTGTGTGTAAACTACAAACAGATACCTTTATCAGTTGTTTGTAAATAGCAAATAAATAAAGTGGCCCAACTTAAAAATGTTGTTGCAATAAAATAAATACACCAATGTAGCATGCTTTAGGGAGCTATTCTTGTGATTTTCAAAAACAAATGTGAAAAGAGCACAAAAAACTATTCTGCTACCTTAAAATGGCACAATGCAATAGAGATGCGGCTTCTATTAGAGCATTTATACATATGAGAAATGGTTGAAATTGTGGTTCTAAATTGGTGCGGCTTCTATTAGGAATGTGGCTTGTTATACAGATTTTACGGTACTATCACATCAATTTCCTACTTTAGCCCATTTATGTACACATGAATGCATACAAACCGGTGCACCAGATGTTGTCAACTCTTCAAGTTTCTGTCTCGTTTCTTCAAGAGTCCTTTTATGACTGTGGAGTCAGAGATATATAGAGTTAGGAGAAAAATAAACAATATGCTGCTATCATGTCTTATACACTACAGCTATCATTATGTTTGTGGTACTTTTTATTAAAAAATTGCTCTGAACCCGCAACATTGAAACCAGTGTATACTGGTATTGTTAACAATACAATACAATAGCACTTTATTATCACCGCAAAGAAACTACAATCTTTTTGGGCTCTGAATAATAAAGTTAAATTAATAAACGTGAACACACATTAATTATAATAAAAGTATCAAAAAAAGAAAGTTACTAAATGCTTTTTTTCAAGTTTGCATTATCAATGTATTGAATTAGTGCTTTCAGTAAACGAATGTCTGATATATTGTCTTGAATTTTTCTGTTTCGTCCATCTCGTGTAAATTAGTAAATATTTTGTTAAATTCATCGTAAAGAGTTTTTCTTTCAGAAGAGTAAACCTTATAAGATGTAATGAAGTGAATTTCATCTTCTTATACATTGCATGTTTTGCATAGTCTCTTGCTGAGTGGTGTTTTTGGACAAGTATGTCATCCTACCAACTTTGATCTATACATGTAATTTGTGGCTTTCACTCCCACCTAAAGCATAAATTAGAGTGTCGCCAATTTTATTATTACAGAATTATTTGAGTAGTAATTCAAGAAATTTTGTTTAAGGTGACCCAATTTTCTTGATTCGTAAAAAAAAAATTGTTTAAGAAAGCAGACTGACAATATTGATAACAAAAGATTTCTTACACTGTTGCCTGTTTTATAAGTTCTTTTTTCTCTTTTTCCTGTTGTTCCATCCTTTGAAGACGTGCAT